CTTCAATTAAAAAAAAAAAAAGAGGGGGAAGCTTTTGTTACCCCAGTCCCTCCAGGAGAAGACAGGGTAGGCTAGGCCCCCAGCCCCTGTGTTAATGTTCCTGGTGAGTTGTTCAAAGCCCCCCTGAAAGGAGAGACAAAGCTGGGCAGGGCGCCAGGCCCTTGCTCTTCCAGAAACCACAGGGTGAGGTGGCCATAGGCCTGTGCACCCCTTCCCACCTAGGAGAGAGTCCCCTTGGCTTTGCCATGGGCTCCCCACTTCCCCACCTCACCACACCACATCCTGTTGCGGTCCTGCCAGAGAAGGAAGTGGAATCTGGGGTCCAGTGTGACCTGCCCGTCCCGCCAGGGTGTGAAGCAAGGCCCTCCCCACTGCCCGGCCCCAGCAGATAAAGGCGGCCTGGGCCAGCGGCGAGCTCCTAGCCGTCCCTGCGGGCCTCACCTGCCATGTCCGCCCCTTGCGCGCTGCTCGCCTGGGCCCTCCTGGCTCTCCTCGGACTTGGGCTAGGAGGGCCTAGAGAAGACCCCCCAATCACCTGCTGCCCCATAGTGCCCCGGAGAGAGTGGAGGGCCCCGGCGTCCAAGTGCACCAAGAAGTTGAAACTGCCCGTGCGCTACGTGGTGGTGTCGCACACGGCCGGCAGCCCCTGCGACTGCCCTGCCTCGTGCCTGATGCAGGTCCAGAACGTGCACAACTTCCACACGGGGACGCTGAACTGGTGTGACGTGGGCTACAAGTGAGTGCGGAGCGGAGGCAAAGGCCGGAGCCCTAGCGGGTGGAGGGAAAGGTGTGCAGGCCAGAGGAACACCCGGCGGATCTAGAGCCCCCTGGCTGACAGCCCCCGCAGCTTAGGCAGCGTCTTCGCTGGCTTGCTTTCTCCCCAGGGCGGGCACAGAGGACTGCGCATGTGCGCGCGGCACGCAGGTGCTGGGAAGAAGGGAAAGGGCTGAAGTCCAAGCTCTGCTCCCCGGAGGAAGGGACAGACTACCAACACAAAAGAAAGAGTTCTCTACACTGGAGTCCCTTCATAAAGTCTGCCGCCTTTGTTGGGAGGCAGACAAGCAGGCGGGTTCAGCGCGGGGGTGGGGGTGGGGGTGGGGTCCAGTCTCAGCTCTGCTTGTTGCTGGCTGAGATCCGGGGCAGGGTCACGAACGCTCTCCCCACTTTGGTTTCCTCTCCCTCCTCTGCCCCCACCGGGTCACTAAATCAGCCAATACATACATGCAAAGCCCTTAGGACACCACCGGGCATGCAGTGGGAACCCCCAAGTTCATGGGCTCTTGCCCTTAGGCACTTACTATGTGCCAGGCCCCGCCCGGGTGCTGGGATGGGGGAGGCATGAACAGTGCAAATCTGGCCCAATGGGATTTAAAGACCAAAGGGGAAGAACAAGTGGGAAACAAGCAAAGGCAACCAGATGAATTCAGATGGTGATGGAAGCAATAGGGCGGGGCGGGGGGGGGGCGGAAACTCGGGTGGCTCTGGGTTGGGGGGGCTGTGACAACAGTGGTAAGCTGAGGGTCCAGCAGGGGTAAAAGCTAGGAGGGCAAGTGGGAGGGTCACGCCTGAAGGGCAGAGATCAGGATGGCTGGAGGGAGCTGGGAGGAGTGACATGAAACGAAGAGGACCGGATCAGCAGGGCCTTGTGGACCACCGTAAGGAAGACAGGAGCCACGGGAGGGATGTGAGCCTGCTAGGTGGGAAGCAGCTCCCCCTGGCGGCTGTGGGGAGAACAGCCTGCAGGTGGGTGACGGCAGAAACAAAAGGACTGCTAAGATCTGCATCTGGGGGCGGTGCCCCCCAGCTCCCTTTCCGGGATAACAGGCCGCGGCCCCATACAAGGGATTCCGCAGCGAGTGAACTTTGAACCCTACAGGTTCTCAGACCTTGGTATACACCAGTCACCGTACTGGAAATCCAGGTTCCCGGGTTCCGCCCTTAGAGATGGCTTCCAATAGGGGTGGGGTGAAGCTAGGGAAGCCGATGACCTCATTGGAAGTCTAGACGCCTCCGAGGTATCCCCAGCTCTTCTGGCTCAAGCTTTCACATTTCAAAGGCTCCAACTTCCAGGCTTTGTCTCCAAGACTCAGGTGCTCCGATGCTTAGGGTTTCCATGAGGTAGTGAAGACAAAGCTTGGCTCCCCAGCCTCTGGCCTCAATCGTCTTATAGAAAAGTAGACTGAAGTCTCTTTCTCAGATTTTAGGATTTAGAGTCTGATCCCAACATTCTGGATCTTCCTTCTTGTCACATCACGTTCTGAGTCTCAGTGTCTTTACTTATAAAAAGGGTTCTTTACTCCACCCACCTGGTGGTGGTGGAGGTTTAAACTAGATGCTTCCATTTCACAAATACACAGGGAGTCCCAGTTGCCTGTGCCAGGTGTTGGGGCTGTGATAAAGCCATAAGCAGCCCAGTCCTGGGGGCCAGCATCACCATGGAATTTCTAGTCTCTTCAGAGCCAGATTCTGAAGTTGGGCTTCCTGCGTGGGAGATTCAAGACCCAAAGATTCTTAAGTTCCAACATTCTTCACATCCTTGGTGACTGTGAGAGCAAGAGGGCAGACACAGCAGATCTTGAAACTCCAAAATGCTGATCTTCTAGTTATTTCCAATGTGCCAAATCAAACTCGCTCCATCAAGGCGTGTCAAATGAGTCTGAAGGATCTGATGCCAGGGCTGGAAACTTCCAAGAGGCAGATGCTGGGACTCCAGAGTCTGTATCTGGTTATGATGCCAGTCCTTGAGTCCCAGATCCTGTCACTCAGTGTACCCCAGCAGAGGAACAGAAAGCAGGAAGCAGGCTGCGCCAAGGGCAGAAGAGCTTCTCAGAGGAGAGTTCGGAGAGGCAGGGGTCTATGGGGCATGACCTTGGGGACGACAGCGGCACCTGCCCCAGAGGACTGCATGAGAGCATTCAGCAAATCAAGAGCTCAACAAATCCTCCCAGGAGGCTGGAGGAAGCAAGGAATAGGATCACATGGGTGGGAGTTCCAGGGACCCGGGTGAGAACCCGGACTCTGTCCCTGTCTGGCTGTGTTGTGTGACTATGGGCAGATGTCCCCACCTCTCTGATGCTCCACCTGCAGAATGGGGGCAGTACTAACTCATGGGTGGCCGTGAGGGTGTAGTGCTGTGCCTGGCACGTTGCAGGGGCCAGAGGCATTGGATGACAGAAGAGGGAGGTGTTGGGGGAAATTGTGTGTGAGTAGCAGGGGGCGGGGGGCAGGGGATGCCCTCCCTTACTCATCAAGCCACCCCACCCCCACCCACACAGCTTTCTGATCGGAGAAGATGGGCTCGTATATGAGGGCCGGGGCTGGGACACCAAGGGCGATCACACAGGCCCCACCTGGAACCTCATCTCCATTGGCATCTCCTTCATGGGTAACTACATGGGTAAGTGTCCAGCTGTTGGCATGGAGGGCCGAACTGTGGTCTGGGGGAAGGTACCGCGCGGTATGTAGTCCTTGGGAGGCTCTGCCACTGCCAAGCTCTGTGACATCGGGCAAGTTGAGTCGGCTTCTCCAAGCCTCATCTCCTCCTCTGGATAATGACCGTTTCTTTGCAACTGCCTGGTTTGGGCCAGGATGAGTTAATCTGCATACAAGTTCTTCGGCCAGTCCATGGCTCGTAGGAAGTGCCTGATAAACAGCCACCATCATGAGTAGGACCCAGAGGTCTGGGGGCAGAGGAGGGAGGATGAGCTCTAATCTTGACACCTGCTGAGGGCTTAACCTGTGCCAGGCACTGTTCTGTGAGCGCTTTATGTCAAAGAACTCGTTTTCTTGTCCCACAGCCCTGAGGGCAGGTGCCATCATTCTCTCCTTTCGCAGATGAGGAAACTGAGGCACAGCAGGGTTAAGTCCCTGCTAGGGGACTGGCAGACCCAGTTCTGGGCCCCAGTGGGGCAGGGTGCACAACTGGAAACACTACCCCACACTACCTCTGTCCCTCAAGGAAGCCCCAGCCTAACTCCTGCATCTGTCTCCCCCAGAGCGGTCACCTCCACCCCGGGCCCTCAGGGCGGCCCAGAGTCTGCTAGCTTGGGGTGTGGCTCAGGGGAAACTGAGCCCCACGTATGAGGTCAAAGGACACCGGGATGTGCAGCGGACACTCTCTCCAGGCGACCGACTCTATGAGATCATCCAGACCTGGCCGCGCTACCATGAGTGAGACCCTATCTCCTCCGCACCCGGAAACCCCACCACCTCCCCCTCCAAGAAAGGTGCAGCTCAAACTGTGTTCCCGTGTCCCACCACATGCCTCCCCTCCCTCTCTACGTCCCACAAGACCCCAGCCGTTCCCACCCGCCCCGGGCCCAGCACTCTGTCCTCACTGGTGCTCAGAACCCAGAGGCCCCAACCCTGAACCAAGACCCCAGAGATCCCAGCTTGGAAGGAACATCACAGCTCAGAACCCAGGTCTCAGGCCAGAGCACAGGAATCAGCACCAAGTTGGCCCAGATGTCACTGACGGCAGCTCAGGGGTCCTGTGGGGCCGTGAACCATGCTCTAAGACACCCCTTCTCTACCACTCGGCCAAAGATATCCTGTGCAACATCTCTGCTTGGACGCCTTTGGGGTTGAGCTGCTCACTACCACCCCTCAGGTCCACCCCTTTCATTGCTTTAGAGAGTATTCAAGTTTTTCCTGACCCTGAACCCCAAAGTGCCTCCCAGTCAGAGACATGCCCAGAAATACACCAGGTCCCAATTACAGCCACCACCCAGTCCTCATTTCTCCCGACTCCAGCCCCACCCTTCAGTCATAAGCTGAAGGAGCCCAACAGCAAATAGTTTATTTACAAAATGCACATACCTTCCCTCCCAGCATGCAGTGCATGGCCAGGGAGGGGGGGGGTGTCAAGGCTTCACACACCTGAAACCCCGGTAGCACCAGCAGGAGAGAAGCCTGAGCGCAGCTGGAAGGAACCGCCGGCCCCGCGCCCCCCCCAATCCAGCGGTGGGTGAAGGATGGAGGGGCAGTACTCCAGGTCGAGGTCATGACCGTGTGTCCAGTCGGTTCATATATTCCTGCAAGGCCTTCAGGCGGGCGTCTATTTCAGCCATGTCTGCTGCCTGGTGGTCGGAGCTGTACTCTGTGAGAGTGGGTGTGGATGCAGGGGCAATGAGGGCCCAATATGCTGCCCTTGGGCTGGGTGGGGGGCAAGGGAGGGGGAGATGTGGAGTCCCAGGCTCACCTTTCATAGGGACCCAGCCCCCCGAACTGGTCAGGCATCTCTGATGGCGGCTGCGTTCCAGAGGGGTGGGCTTCTGCTGCTGGGGGAGACGGGAAGGGGGGGTTAGATACGGTAGCCTCCCTCTATTCCTGTCTCCCAGATCCCACTGGAAATTTTGAACCTAAGGACCTCAGAGAACAAGGGCTGACGCCCACTGCGCACTTACTAGATGCAAAATCACCTCCTGGTATCTCCACCAGAACCCTCTCAGATGAATACTACTACCATCCCCATTTAACTGATTAAGAGACTGAGGCTGAGAACTAGCGTGGGCCACACAGGTGATAGGAAGGCGGGGCCAGGTTTTAAGAGCTGCCACTTTGAGGCCAGGGCTAGTGCCCTTAGCCAGTATCATCTACCCCACCCCACCCCCACACTCCCCTCCAATCCAATGATCTCAAAACATTCTGCGTCCAGAGCATTTCAAAAGACACCTCTGCGGGGCGCCTGGGTGGCTCAGTCGTTAAACATCTGCCTTCGGCTCAGGTCATGGTCCCAGGGTCCTGGGATCGAGCCCCGCATCGGGCTCCCTGCTCGGCAGGGAGCCTGCTTCTCCCTCTCCCACTCCCCCCGCTTGTGTTCCCTCTCTCTCGCTGTGTCTCCCTGGCAAATAAATAAAATCTTAAAAAAAAAAAAAAAAGAGACACCTCTGCAACCTGAGTCCCCCAGAATGGAATCATGGGCTTTTGGTGACTTCACGCTGCCCCTACCTCCTCCAAGGTCCGGGGAAAGACACTCACCGTGCTGGACCCGCCCCAGGGTGTGGGGCTGGAAGGCTTCCCGCGGTGGTGAACGCTGACAGGAGAGAGTATTCAGGAACCAGCGGGAGGAGCCTTGGGCACCTCCCACCTCGCCCTCCCCGGTGGTTTCAAGGATCCCGCCTCCATCACCCAACCTCCCTGCAAAAGACTGTTTCTAGCCTCCCCAGACACCCGGTTGGAGGCGGTCCTTTCCCTGCGCCCAAGTTTTACCCCTTAGGAAGGGATTCGGAGAAATCCTCCAACTCGCTGCAGGAGCCGGCGGACGAGCAGCGGCTGCGGAAACTGTCCACTAGAGGGGAGAGGAGAGAGTGAGCCTCCCGCGCTCGCCGGGGGCGCCCAGCCCGTCCGCCCCCCCGCCCGCCCCGCGCGCTACAGCCCAGTTACCTGAGGAGCTGCGGTTTCGGGAGCGGTTAGCCGCGTCCCCTCGGCCGCTCACGGCAGCGGGGGGCCGAGCCTGGCGAGACCAGGAGATGGACGGGCCGTCCCCGCTTCCTCCGCTGCCCAATCGGTTCCGCTGCTGCTGCTGCCTGGGGAGCGGAGAAGGAGATACCCACCTGTGTGCCCAACTAATGCTAGGAATGGCGTCGCTGCGCCCCTATGGGCACAGCTGAGGTCACACAGGAAAGGGAAGAAAAAGGGCTGCGGACACACAGACCGGGTGGTGGGGGTCAGGGGAGGAGGTGGAGGTCAAGGGAAAAGCAGGCGCAGGTAAAGGGAAGGGGAGAGATGGAGCAGGTGACAGATGATGGAGACAGATGGGAGACGGGGTTGGATGAGAGCACAGGTCGGGGGGCCAGGTAAAGGGGCAGGGATATGGGCAGGTAAGGGGGAAATGGGCGCTAACTTCATCTTGATCTCTCTCTGCTTCTTCTCCTTGGCTTTCACAAAGGCTGTGGGGTCGAAACGGGGCACGCGACTACCTAGAATGGGGTGGGAGAGTGTGGAGAGAAGAGGCTGGGTCACAGGAGCACGCCTCCACAGCTCCAGTCCGTCCCCCACCCTCCCACAGGCAGGGCAGGGCACAGACCTGTGGGCGAGGGTGAGGGGCGGGCAGGGCGGCCTCGACTCCGGCCCCCCCGGCCGCTCTCCCGGGAAGAAGAGCGGGTGGCACCGCGACCGCGCGATGTGGAGCGCTCCCGCGACGACGAAGCCCGATCCTCCCGGGCCCGGGGCGGCGGCACCGGCGGAGTCCGTCTCCTGGAGCACAGGACCCACTGTCAGTTTCCCGCCGGCCAGCTCCTATGTCAACTCCTATCTCAAGCCTCTTCTCGGATCACGCCATCTCCGAACCTTCAGGTCCATCCCACCATCAACTCCTACTAGACATTCACGCCCTTGCATACGACCCTCACAGATACCTTGTCCCAGGCTCTGCCCCCCCTCGGAGCCCCAGAGAACCCTCCCAAAAGAAACTGTCACTTCCCTACATCCGAACAAACCCCCTTTACCGGACCCTTCTTCCTGAGGGCTCCCACAGCTCCCTACAAATCCTTCCCAGTATTCCATCACCCACCCCAATAAATAACACTGGACGTCAACCAGATCCCCACCAGTTGGGCCACGCCCTTTCGCTCTACAAGATCGCCCTTTCGCTCTACAAGATCCTCAGGTCCCACCCCTTTCCCCCGGACCTTATCTCCAGCCCTTCCTCCTGACTGACTGACGCTTCAAGCGCCGCCTGCCGTGTCCAACTTTCCGCCCCATGCAGTCCATCAG